AAAATGGGGTTAAAATGGGGAAAAATGGGAGGAAAATGGGAGGAAAATGGGAAAAAATGGGGTTAAAATGGGGAAAAATGGGGAAAAATGGGGAAAAATTGGGAAAAATGGGGAAAAATGGGGTTAAAATGGGGGAAAAATGGGATAAAATGGGGTAAAAATGTGTTAAAATGGGAAAAAATGGGTTAAAATGGGGAAAAATGGGAGGAAAATGGGTTAAAATGGGGAAAATGGGGGAAAATGGGGTTAAAATGGGATAAAAATGGGATAAAATGGGGTAAAAATGGGTTAAAATGGGATAAAATGGGGTTAAAATGGGGGTAAATAGGGCTAAAAGGGGTTAAAATGGGTTAAAATGGGATAAAATGGGATAAAATGGGGTTTGGGAGCCTCTGCCGGGGCGGCAGCGCTGGCACTGCGGGCCCTCCGTCCAGTCTGGGGAGAAAAACGGGGAAATCGGGAAAAAACGGGGTTAGAATGGGAAAAATCGGGGTTAAAATGGGAAAAAACGGGAAAAATGGGGTTAGAATGAGTTAAAATGGGGAAAAAATGGGGTTAAATGGGGTTAAATTGGGTTAAAATGGGTTAAAATGGGGTTAAAATGGGGAAAAATGGGAGGAAAATGGGAGGAAATGGGGTTAAAATGGGGAAAAACGGGGAAAAATGGGGAAAATTGGGAAAAATGGGGAAAAATGGGGTTAAAATGGGGTAAAAATGGGATAAAATGGGGTAAAAATGGGTTAAAATGGGATAAAATGGGGTTAAAATGGGGAAAAATGGGAGGAAAATGGGTTAAAATGGGGAAAAATGGGGGAAAATGGGGTTAAAATGGGGAAAAATGGGGGAAAATGGGGTTAAAATGGGAAAAAAATGGGGGAAAATGGGGTTAAAATGGGGAAAAATGGGGGAAAATGGGGTTAAAATGGGGTAAAAATGGGATAAAATGGGGTAAAAATGGGATAAAATGGGTTAAAATGGGGGTAAATTGGGCTAAAAGGGGTTAAAATGGGTTAAAATGGGATAAAATGGGATAAAATGGGGTTTGGGAGCCTCTGCCGGGGCGGCAGCGCTGGCACTGCGGGCCCTCCGTCCAGTCTGGGGAGAAAAACGGGGAAATCGGGAAAAAACGGGGTTAGAATGGGAAAAATCGGGGTTAAAATGGGAAAAAACGGGAAAAAACGGGGTTAAAATGAGTTAAAATGGGGAAAAAATGGGGAAAAATGGGAGGAAAATGGGAGGAAAATGGGAAAAAATGGGGTTAAAATGGGGAAAAATTGGGAAAAATGGGGAAAAATGGGGTTAAAATGGGGTAAAAATGGGATAAAATGGGGAAAAATGGGAGGAAAATGGGTTAAAATGGGGAAAAATGGGGAAAAATGGGGTTAAAATAGGGTTAAAATGGGATAAAATGGGGTAAAAATGGGATAAAATGGGGTAAAAATGGGTTAAAATGGGAAAAAATGGGGTTAAAATGGGGAAAAATGGGTTAAAATGGGGAAAAATGGGATAAAATGGGTTAAAATGGGAGGAAAATGGGGAAAAATGGGGAAAAAATGGAGTTAAAATGCGTTAAAATGGGGAAAAATGGGTTAAAATGGGTTAAAATGGGTTAAAATGGGAAAAAATGGGAAAAAATGGGAAAAAATGGGGAAAAAATGGTGTCAGTTTGGGGCAGTTTTGGTGTGAATTTGGGCTGTTTTGGTGTGAATTTTTGGGTTGTTTTTGGTGTGATTTTGGGGTGATTTTGGGGTGTTTTGGTGTGATTTTTTGGGTTGTTTTTGGTGTGATTTTGGGGTGATTTTGGGGTGTTTCGGTGTGATTTTTTGGGTTGTTTCTGGGGTGATTTTGGGGTGATTTTGGGGTGTTTTGGTGTGATTTTTTGGGTTGTTTTTGGTGTGATTTTGGGGTGATTTTGGGGTGTTTCGGTGTGATTTTTTGGGTTGTTTCTGGGGTGATTTTGGGGTGATTTTGGGGTGTTTTGGTGTGATTTTTTGGGTTGTTTTTGGTGTGATTTTGGGGTGATTTTGGGGTGTTTCGGTGTGATTTTTTGGGTTGTTTCTGGGGTGATTTTGGGGTGATTTTGGGGTGTTTTGGTGTGATTTTTTGGGTTGTTTTTGGTGTGATTTTGGTGTGATTTTGGGGTGTTTTGGTGTGATTTTTTGGGTTGTTTTTGGTGTGATTTTGGGCTGTTTTGGTGTGATTTTTTGCGTTGTTTCTGGTGTGATTTTGGTGTGATTTTGGGGTGTTTTGGTGTGATTTTTTGGGTTGTTTCTGGTGTGATTTTGGGCTGTTTTGGTGTGAATCTGGGCTGTTTTTTGGGGCTCACTCTGGCAGCGGTCGCAGAGCCCGGGGCCGCCGCGCTCGCAGGAGCTGTGGAAGTTGCAGCCGCAATCCACCGAGCACTGGGGGGGCTCCTGGGACCCCCCCGAGGAGGAATTTTGGGGTTTGGGGTTGGTCCAGCCCAGGTGACAAACGCAGGTGAAGTTGGGGGGTCCCGAGCAGAATCCGTGGCCGCAGTCGGAGAAACACCTGGAGGGGGAAAAAAGGCTCGGGCACCCCAAAATTCCCAAAAAATTCCCAATTTCTGACCCCAAAAACCCCAAAATTCCCAATTCTTGACCCTGAAAACGCCAAAAATCCCCAAAATTCCAAATTCCTGACCCCAAAAAACCCAAAATTCCAAATTCCTGACCCCCAAAATGCCAAAATTTCAAATTCCTGATCCCCAAAATGCCAAAATTTTCAAATTCCTGACCCCCAAAATGCCAAAATTTCAAATTCCTGACACCAAAATCCCAAAATTCCCAATTCCTGACCCCAAAAACCCCAAAATTCCCAATTCTTGACCCCGAAAACCCCCAAAATCCCCGAAATTCCAAATTCCTGACACCAAAAACCCCAAAATTCAGGATTCCTGACCCTAAAAATCCCCAAAAAAACCCAAAATTCCCAATTCCTGACCCCAAAAACCACAATATTCCCCCATTTTCCCTCCATTTTTCCCCAATTTTTTCCACATTTTTTCCCCA